GAAGAAAGAACACAAGGATGGATGGGATCTAGTCTTCCATTCTCTCCTTCACTATCATCTCCTAAACTCTTAGCACATGTCAGCCCTTTGCCACACATAGAAACAAACGCACAAAACAAGCTCCTCCCTTGGTGTAGCCACAGCTATAAGTAGAGAAGCAGCCAAGCTCCACTTGACTCCCAGACTGGCCAACCATCTTCTATTCATAATGTGAAAAGATTTAAGTAACCAGACCAAGTCTTGCTTGGCTTCATAAGACAGGCTTGTTTGTCAGCATGGATTCTCACAAACAAAACTCTCAATAAAAAAAACTAAAGGGAAAGGAATTTGGTAGCTTAAAATAAACTGTTCAGGGAGGGCCAGGTGCTGGTGGTTCATGCCCTGTAATCTTAGTTATTCAGAAGGCTGGGATCTAAGGATCAGGTTCAAAGACACCCTGGGGAGGAGAGTCTGCTTAACTCATCTCCAATTAACTGTCTGAAAACCAGAAATGGTGCTGTGGCTCAAGTGGTTGAACGCTTGAGTGAAAAAACTCAGGGACAGCGCCCAGGCACCAAGTTCAAGCACCAGTACCAGCACACACAAAAAAAGTAAATAAATGCCTAATAGGTGTCTTCCCTTTTCTTCTCTGCAGCCAGTGTTACAACACACAGGAGAATCTGGAACATGGTCACCAGGGAAGCTGTTTGAAGTGTGGACCTGGGCAGCAACCCTAACACCTTTCACCCCTGCTGTATTCATGTAGCCTCATCTAAGCCATGGTAGGAGGATTTTTCCTTGTAGGACCCAGACTGAAAGGATGCTTTCTTATCTCTCCTTGTCAACCTATGTCTTGTTCTATTGGCCATGGAGTGCCACTTGGGGGATGGAAAATGGCATCAATACACTGCTATACATTTTTAGCATTGTTTTTTTTCTCTGCTCTTCCTTACATCTTTCTCCACATTTAGTTTATAGGTGCCTTCAACTGATAAAGCTTCATCCCATGCCATCTGTTCTGTGTCACAAACACTGATTTTGCTAAAGTATGAGAAGAATTTTCTAAAATGATGGAAACTTCCAAAAGGCTAGACACTAAAAATCTCTGTTAAGAGAAAATCTGGACAGTCTCCCAAAGGAACTTCCCAGAAATGCAAGGGCAGGACTCAAATTCTGATTTTATAAGTGCAATCCTTACTATAAGCTTTTGCTGTACATGCTATGTTTTAGGAGGACCCTAGTTTGGTCTTCATGGATCTGGTGTCTATTACCTACTAGTTTAGGGGGTTTCTATTAGATTTAATGAAACTAAAAAAAAGCTTGATGTCAAAAACTGCAGGGGAAAATCCTCTCAAAGCCTAAAGGACCAGAGAAATGTACCTTTCTTCATGAAGTCCTGAGTCCCAGGTAGGACTAGCTGCTTTTCCTGAGCTGCTCAATTCATGAACCTCACTCAGCCATCACTGCACCCAGATCTAGACAGAGAGCTGCATCATTTCTTATTGCAATTGTCCATTAATAGTGAATTTGAACTCAATTTGCAATTACTGATGAAACTGGGTAACTGGACATTTGGTTTAATTTACCCTATTTATACGGGTTTTATATCTTTAAAAAAAAATCTAAATTTAATGCCAAGCGTAGAAGTACATGCCTGTATTCCAGCACTCAGGAGGAAGAGGGAGGAGAATCACAAGTTCAAGACCAAAGTGAGACACTGTCTTTAAAATGTCAAAACAGGTTTATTTCAGTATGTTTATTACAGATTGCTAGAATTGTGTGTGTGTGTGTGTGTGTGTGTGTGTGTGTGTGTGTGTGCAAGTGCATGCGCGTGTGTGTGTCTATGTGCATGTGCAGGTGCATGCTGGTCCTGAGGCTTAAACTCAGGGCCTCAGTGCTGTTCTCCTGAGATTTTCTGCTCAAGGTTAGCTCTCTACCACTTGAGCTCTAATTACAGCACCTCCCCCGCTTTTGGAGATAAGAGGCTCATGGACTGTCCCTGACCAGACTGGCTTTGAACTGTAATCCTCAGATCTCAGCCTACTGAGTAGCTAAGATTACAGGTGTGAGCCACCGGCACCTGCCCTAAATTATTTTCATTTTTAAAAGAACTTCTCAACTGTAAATAAAAGACAATACACATAAAATGTCTAGCATATGTCGGTTTAATGACATGGGCCAATAAGTGCCAGTTGTTATTCTGTTGTCATACATCGGCTTATCCAGACACAAGGTGATCTGAAAGTTCCTGCAGCATAAATACAATATAAACTACAGTATAAATATTTTCACAAAGATACTAACTATTCTTGGGAACTTCCCATAATAGCAAGGACTCACATTTATACAGTACAATGTTATAATGATAATAGATTTGAATTTGATAAGCTTGTTTGCTTTGCTGATGCTCTACTATTTGGTCCACCTATCCAAGTCAGGTTTTTGCTGGTTAATCCATTATGAAATCTCCAGGACTTTCTACTGAAGCTGGCTATGCACCATGATCCTCCAGAACTCAGCCTCCTGAATAGTTAGGATTACAGGTATGAACTATCGGCCTTGGCTATAAATAATCTTTTACAAAGTAAGCAGTGCTGTATTTTCGCTGGGGAAGAAATGGAGGCTTAACTAGCATCTTAGTTTTATTGAAGATCACAGGACTAAGATGGAGTAGAAGGAAATCTCTGACTCAATCCAGAATTCCAACTTCTGATCCTGACAGTCAGTGTCTCTCTAATTCCTTTCTGCAGCTTTGCATTCATGTTTTCAGTTAACCAGTTTTGTTTATTCCCCAAGAAAAGAACAGTTTACAGACACAGACTCTCCAAAGAGGTCAAAATGATGTCTGAAATGACAATAATGGTAAAGCAAATCTCTTAAAAGCAGTAGAGTGCATTATTGAAAACAGAAAATAATAAACAACCTTGTAATTGCCAGACACAATTTTAAACAAGATTGCTTTACCTTGTTTTGTTTCCTTTCTTGTTAGGTAATTTCCCCAGCAGGTTTGTAACAAAAAAAGAAAACAGGGAAAGCAGATTCTATCCCTGGAAATGTAATAGCCTTATCTTCATGTCTTGCTCAAGTCTAAACACTTCTTCAATCAAATTATTGTAAGTGCTTGTTGCTTCTCCCTACACCCATTGGGCAATAACCTTCATTTGAATCATATTTAATAGCTTACAAGGCACATTCTTCATGGGTTATTACTCCTCATGATAATTATGAAAGGCAGATAGATATTCATATCTTCATTTTACAAATCAGGATGCCCAGATGTGTTAAGATAATTTTCTCAATGTCAATCAACATGGCTCATAAAAGTACTGACCTAGTACTGCTAGGAAACTGGCCACTTAGAATCTGGTCTTTCAGTGATGAAAATATAGCCTAGGTGTTTACGTGAAGGGACTTTTAACTCAAACTGCCTGGGTTCAAATTATGCCTGGACTATGAGCCCTGACAACATGAATATGTTACATAAATATCTGGGCCTGGAATTCCTCTAGTGTGAGCTGCATGTCACCAACATTAGCTAAGTTCTGGTATATTAGTTTGCTAAACACAGCTTGTTTAAAATGGTTCCCATCTACTGAGCACTTATCTTAAGAATGAAGTAAGCAGTGGCTCTTATTTGTTAGCATGATTACTTGATTACTCTTTCTGTGCTGGTCCCATCATCTCTGTGACTGCCACATACAGACTCAGTTTACAATAAGTAAAGAGTGAGCAGAATGTTAGGAGCACGGCTTGAGTTCCATTTGTGTTTTTTATTCCATATGAGACCATGAGCAAATTCTCTCATCTTTCTGATGGGCCTATGCCTATATTTATCACATGGAATGACCCTCATCCCATTAGCTTCATGTTATTGCTGCCTTGATGACATCATGTGAGATCTGAAGGGAAAGCAGATCTTATTCATTTATTCATGCATTCATTCATTTATATGTAGGCAGTACACCTCCGAAATGTTAGCTGCTGTGTTAAAATGTGGTGATTTAAATATGAATCAGAGGTTGGGTGCTAGTGGCTCACACCATAATCTTAGCTACTGAAGAGGCTGAGATCTGAGAACTACAGTTTTCTGCCAACTCTAGGCAGAAAAAATCCATGAGATTCTCTTCTAATAAACCAGCAAAAATTCAGAAGTGAATATGTAATTCAGGTGATCCAGCACAAGAAGAAAGTGAAGGGAGGAGGGAAGGGAGGGAGAAAAGTAGATGGGTAAGTAGAATGACAAGCAAGAATTTGAACCCTAAGTTCATTCCATAATATTGGAACCAAAACAAAACAATCAAATATGCATCAAGATAGTGGGAGAGACAGAGTAAGAAGTGACTATGATGACAGGCATTTTTACAATATACCAACTACAAAAATAGACTGAAATAGGCTGTGGGGGTATTGGGTACTTTCAGTATATGAACTCAGCTGTCACTGGCCTTGAGGAGAAAAGACTAATAACATCCTCTCAACAACGTTTAGGAAGTTGGCCAGGAAAGGCAAGTGAGGGCACCATTGTACCTGCCAGTCTTTGTTCTGTATGGAAGAAGTCACAAGTGTCAGAGGCCTTGTTGATTCTTTCCATTGACAACAACACAGCAGGTATATCCCTGGACATACAATGCCATGGTAGGGCCCAATAAGCCCAGAATTATTTTTGTTACTTTAAGTAGACAATTATTGAAGACCTACAAGGTGAAAGACATTGTATATGATAAACAAAGAAGAAAATGACTCATATCAGATACCAAGGGAGCTGGAGTTCGGTGCAGCAGGCAGACTCACAAACCAGTCATTCCATAATAAGGCGCCCAAGGTGGAGATACAGGTAAACAAAAAGTTAAATGTAAAATAATGACTTCTTAGCCCACCCAGGTCAGAGAAGACTTCCTGAAGTAGATGACATCTGTCTTAAAATTAAAGGGTAAGAGATAGTAAGATAGGAAAATCACTGAGAATAATCATAAAGGAAACACTACATAGATGATAGAAACTGTGCTGAAAGAACTAATCTAGTTTTCAATTCAGCACACATATACTAAAATCAGAATGATACAGGGAAGATTAGCATGGCCCCTGGGCTTGGATGACATGGGAATTTGTGAATCTTCCCCATTTCTCTGCTCCTCTTGTCATCTGGCTGAAAACTAGACTGTTGGGTCTTATGTATGGTTTGCTTTTGTGGATAACCTCAGCCCCCAGAAAGTTCCATTGTACAGCCTGGTACAGTTCCTGGTACAGCCTTAGCAAAAGAGGAAGGGCAGGGGTCAGCTGCTAGGGATACTGGAGTCTGGGTACCCTTTGTTCTGCTGGCTGTGGTGTAGAATATAGAAGCAGGGGGGAAAGGGGTACTGGTGTCTGAGTTCAGGTCTTTGGAACCTAGACTGGCAAGTTCTGTCCAAGGCCTAAATTTTCCAGAGTTTGCTGTGTTTATAAGTATACCCCTGTGAGGCATTATAAATATATGTGCATACATATACATATACATATACATAGAAGCTCCTGGTGTGGATGATAAATATACATATGCACACACAAACACAGAGATATATAATAGATAGATGATAGATAATGGATAGAAAATTAAGATAGCTAACTAATTATAGTTAGCATATAAGTAATCTGCTGTGTTTTCCTTTCAAATACAAATTCATGGTACCCTTTTATGATAAGATTATGACCCTCACTTTCCAAAATTTATATCAATATGAGTAATATTCAGGGACTATGAAACATGTTGGATTTCAGAATATTCATTTCCCTCCTTCCTAAACCAAGTTATCTTGTAAAGGAAAGAATTAGTGGTCTGCTTTGATTCTATGTCTCCTTTGAAATCAGTCATCTACTTTATTCCTCCAATTGAAAAAATCAATTATTCAGCAAGCTGACTATGGAAACATGCAAATCTGAAATCTGAGCTAGAATTTTGGTAGGCAAAGGTTCAGCTCTCATTATAGGAGATGTTTGATATAAATATTAATTTTCCTAAACGGTGATGGCATAGGTTTCAAACAAAGGATATTCATAGTGGATTAAACACCAGACTCAAATTGCCTGAGCACTTTGTGTGCCTGGAGAATCAAATTCCATTTCATCTTGATATGAAGCCATTCTCGAGTGTCATCATGGGCTTAGCAGCTAGTATGGTCACCACCTCACTACCAAAACATATGACTGTCTAAAATGCCATGTATGGGCTAACTTGACTTGGCTTGAGGTGGAGAGAGAGGAAAGTGGGATTTGTGTAGTATTCTACATAATATAAGTTCTGTCCAATCTGAATGCTGTATATGAACTGCTTAATGGAGTCAGATGTGAAGCTGTATGTTCATTACCTCAGACAGTATTCCTAGCTGACCTGGGGATTTCCAACCAGCCTGACATCTCATCTGTATTTTATAGATGAAAAAACTAAGACACAGAGGAATTCAATGTCTTATCTGAGAACATATAACAAGGATTCGCAACCTTATGAGGAGCCAAAGACATAATATATGTGTCAAATGATGACCATAGTATATGATGGCTACAAAATATGCCAGCTATAGCTGTTTAAGAAAACTCTAATGTCCATAAAATGTATTCAGAAAATGTTTGGTAGAGAAGAGAGGAAGTTCCTGATTTTTGATCAGTTATTCCCCAAGTCCACTCATCAGAGCTACACAGTGATATGGCTCAGGTACATTCTGAAGTGGTTTTGGCAAAGATGATCTCAAAGACACATGCTTGTGAACAAGGGGGAGGGACAAGAGTCTGAGCCTCTGAATTCTCTGTCAACAGGTTAGAACATCAAAACTCTTCAAACGCCACCCATATCTGCAAATGGACACCCTTATTAAAGTCATCTCTACCCACTGAACATTCTAATGTTCTATTCCATTCCAAGGTTCATGATGTATAGAAGATTGCAGATTTCAATTACCAGGAATCCCTGCTTGCTTGGTACAGACATTCTTAATGGGCACATTGCCCAGCATGAAAAATAATGAGATATTCTTTAAGTCAATATAGGACATATTATAGAAGATATATTAGATATTCTATGGCTGTATACCTTCGCATAACAAAGAATAACAAATATAAAATCTGAGACAAAGAGGTGCAACAAAACATATTAAATTCTTTTTACCCCCAGAAACATTCAGACAATTATAGTTAAGTGGCACTGGAACCTGCCTGATTTGAATTCTCAAACACTGAAGGAAAACCTTGGAGGAGAGGTGGGATGCAGCCTAAATTCAACCATAAACTTAACTGTGACTTTGTTCCAACTTCATTACCTATTAATCAAGTATGAGACAAAAATCAGTGTGTCTTAAAATGCCACCAAACAGGAATGTTTCCAACAGCCTTATAGGGACTACCAAAATACCACACAACAAACCCTACAAATGTAGCTCATGTTTACATTCTTCTCTTGGATAGTCACAAAGACAATGGTAGAACACTGAAGACTGAAAATCCTGACAGGCCTTTTAGTTTCCCCCAAATCATTATGGTGGGGACTCCTCAGCCCCATGTGAGTGTGGATGAGGAACTACGAAGTCTGATTGGATGGTGCATATAGACAAATCTGATACCAGTGGAAAATCTGCTGGTGTGTGTTCTTTAGTTTGTGCGTAAGCCGAAACTGGCAGACAGAGGGTTCTGAGTGTTTGTTGTTAACCAGTGATCCTGTCCAAAGACAGGATGAGGGCCTGTGTGTACCTAATCTTTACTCCAGCCTTATAGTCTATTTAATCTACCTATGGGATTATACCCTTCAATCTGTAAACTAAGACTGCCCAAACTTCATATGTACTCTGTGACCCACTGAAAGGAGAGAACAGGCCGGGTGCCAGTGGCTCACACCTATAATCTTAATTACTCAGGAGGCTGAGATCTGAGGATCACAGTTCAAAGCCAGCACAGATAGAAAAGTCCCTGCGAGCCTCTTATCTCCAAATAACCCCTCAAAAACTGGAAGTAGAGTTGTAGCTCAAGATGATAAGGTGCTAGCCCTGAGCAAATGGCTCAGGGACAATGCCCAGACCCTGAGTTCAAGCCCTATAACCAAAAAAGGAAACAAAACCACAGAAAAAGGGAGAACTGAGGAAGCTTGGGAGTTCTGAGGTCTATCTCCACATTCTCACTCAGCTCTCTTGACAATGCTCATGTGTCTAGAGTAATCCTTTCCCCATCTCCCATTACAGCATCCATTGGATGGAACTGGCACATCATTTCCACATTTAACACCTTTAAATATCGGGAAACTTCTGGAATTGAGAAATACTGGTCTGAAGAGTTCCTTCTGCTGCTGAACTCAGGATTCCTTAGTTTTGCGATAGTGGTTTCTGTAGGAAGAGTCACACATGGGAAAAATCTCTCTCAATTTCTCTGCCAGCCAACACTTCTCACATTCTCATCTCCCTTTGCTGGGCTTCATATTTGTTTTGTGGTTTCCCATATGTCCAAGTCAGGAGGACAGACATTCTCCTAAACCAATTCCTATTGTCAAACTCTCCTTAGAAACACCCAAAGTAAATGGAACCAGGCCTTTCTACAGAATGAGGTGGGAACAACTGTCTGAAACTAGGACTTAAGCTTCTGGATGTTTCTTCCCAGTTTATAGAACCACTTGGCTTTTATCCTTCTCCAACTGCTACAAAGACTACACAAACTTTCAGCCCTTCCTTTCTCCCCTCCAAAGAGACATAATTCCATGGACATGTGTTAAAGAAAAATCTTTGAGCTGGGCGCTGGTGGCTCACACCTGTAATCCTGGCTACTCAGGAGGCTGAGATCTGAGGATTGCGGTTCAAAGCCAGCCCGGGCAGGAAAGACCATAAGACTCTTACCTCTAATAAACCACCAGAAAATTGGAAGTGGCCCTGTTGCTCAAGCAGTAGTAGTAGAGTGCTTGCCTTGAGCTGAAGAGCTCAGGGACCAGTACCCAGGCCCAGAGTTTAAGCCCCACAACCGACCAAAAAAAACCCAACCAAACAACAACAACAACAACAACAAACACTAAAAAAAAAAAAAAAAGAAAAGAAAAGAAATTAAGAAAAATCTTTGAGCCAGGCACTGGTGATTCAAACCTGTAATCCTAGCTGCTCAGGAAGATGAGAATTGGGGATGATGGTTTGAAGCCATCAAGGTAGAAAAGTCCATGAGACTCTTACCTGTAATTAACAAAAGTTGGAAATGAAGTTGTGGCTCAAGTGTAGAGCACTAACCTTGAGCAAAAACAATAAGTGACAGTGCCTAGGCTGAGTTCAACTCCAAAACTGGCTGGCACACAACACACACACACACACACACACACACACACACACACACACACACACACACACACTCTCTCTCTCTTTCTCTCTCTTACTCTCTCTCTTACAACATATCACAAAGAGCCAATATTGTTATAAAAAAGAGATCCAAAGAAGGAAATAAGAAAAAAGGAAGAAAGGGAGAGACAAAGTGATCTGTGGTTTTATCCTAAAATCATCAGCTTAAGGGTTGGTGCAATTTATTAAAAATATTGCTCTTATTAACATTTCTGTGGCAAAGATAGTCATCAGGACCATCTGAGCCTGTCATTTTTACCTGCTCTCTTGAGACCATAGTTAGCTTTCGCTTAGGCAGGAGGTCTGGGAGTTCCAAGTGCACTTGAAGCATCCACCCAACTAAAATTGCATATATGTACATCCTATTAAAACTAAAATACCTCCTCAAAAAATAGGCTGATGCTTTGGCTCACTGGAATAGCTGCTTAGATGACAGCCCTGTTGCTCTGATGGGAGGGGCAGGCATAGAGGATTCAGGTGACCAAGAAGGATGAATTGCTGACAAACCAGTTTTGCCTTAAAATCCATTTTCACAGTATCACAGTCCCAGAGTGCATTTTTTTCCCTCTAAGAGTTCCTTTCTTCTATACTATGTCTGAATTCCTCTGGATGACTCCTCTGGAATCCCTCTGGATTCCAGCACATTTTCTACATCCAAGAAAGTATCTGTTCTTTGTTCTTCCTGTATCACAGCCTTCATCCTCATCATCATGGCTTTTAAGCTGTGTGCTTTACAGGGATTCTCTCAAATAACCTCGTCACCTCAGGAGGACTGATACTGTTATTCCCCTTCCCAGATAA